ACAGGGTTTGGATTGGTAATTGGATTTATCGGACACTTGCAGGATGTACCTACAAATAATTACGACACTGAGTTACATGTTTCAAAGATCACTGTGACTACAGTATGCATAAAGTCTTCCCAGTCTTTGCTAGCTGTTGCTTCATAGTGGTTTCTGATGACATGTTCCCCTTCCTGTGCATTTCCGAACTATTCCCAGTCTCGGCTACCAGCTTCTTACTTATCACAGCTCTAGTTCTCATCTGACTCGTGTTCTCTCATTGCTAGGGAAGCAAGGTGTCCATGGAGGAATTCCCTGACAACAGCTGTTGTACTATCACCTGTTCTCACAGCTATTACTTGCCAGTGGGTGTACATATCACATTATCTTAATTTGTCAGCCTTATGTTTAGTTTCTTCTTTCAGGGTTACTATTACTTTGCGATTGTGGAGGATTTCATCTTACGGTTTGGTTGGGCACTGAACTTATCTCTCACTACGATGGGTTATGTTCATAGTGATATTATGATTTCCATTCTCTCACCATTAGAAGTATTCAGGTATGTAATGCATAAGTTTTCCATTGTATTGTAATTGTATCATGTCGTACTAAATTGATGTGGGTTTTTTTCTGGGTGGGGGCAGAAATAGAGGAGGACCATATGGTGCAAGTGTTCAAGAACACAAAGCTAAAGAAAATATTTCTACATAAGTTAACTGAAGCCAAAAATGGAAAAGTGATGCATTCTGTGATTTACATTCTTCTAATATTACTAGGAAGGAGGTCATGGTTTACAGAATGTGTAGGTCAGATGGTGAGACAATAAATTAATTCTCAATATTGGCATGGAATCCTCATGAGGATTGGACACTTAGAAGACCAAGAATTGTTGCCAAACAGAAGTGTAGGCACCAGAGTCTTGTCACACATGGAAGGGAAGCGTGAAAATAGATTTAAATTGGTAAATGTAGAGTAAATTTGGCAGCATTTGTTAATATAATTATACATGTCAGTTTTATCTACAAAATCATTCAATCTCTAATCTTTAATTAAGAGTTCTTTCTGCGCCTCACATGTGATCTTTAATGTTTAATCAGTTATAGTTAAGGCGTATGTCTAATCAGGTTCACTTCACGACAGTGGTGGTCCTAGGAAAAGTATATCTTGTGGGACCCCACCCTCCTACCTCCTTAATTTTTTAAGAAAATACTTTTATTGCACAGTTTTTCTGTATTAATGAAAGTGAAAATGTTAGGAGAATATTAAAATATTAAAAACACATGACCTAAACATTAACTTGCTTTAAAATAATAATAAAAAACATGTTAATGCTCAAATTCAGATTGAACCTCTTTCTGGATTTCATGTTTGCAGAGTTTAAGTACATGATGCTAATATTCATACAGTGGAGGGCCCAAAAGCAAGGAACCATTGGATAATGTGGCCCTGTGCGTAATGTACCACTCTCTGAAATGGGTTAACAGTGTTCTGTTACATTTACAGATATGTGAGATTGCTGGTTAAAAAAATATGTTTTGAAAATATCAGGAGTTGCATTAGGCTGCATGTCTATAGTCTTCTTTTTCTTCTTCCTCCTCATGACACTTCAATTTTATGTGGGTAGCCTAGCAACTAAGCTTGTTCCCATCCTGAAATCTCACCCCATGACCATTCTGTAGGAGGGTTTCAGCATTCCAGCAGGGAGGAAGACTTGGCAGGGTGAAGTACAGCAGGGACCTGATGTGACAGTCCAAACCTTTAAAAACTCTTCAAGGGTAGAGTAATGGTCCTCTTTAGCCATTTCAGTAGAGTGACTGATTTATTGGGGAGACCGATTCATTAGCATGTTATGACTTGCTTTTCGCATCTGGACAGAAATAACTGCCTTGTTTTGTTACCTGCAGCTTGGGTGAACAGAAAGGGACGGGGCCACCACAGAAGGCAAGTCTGTAGTTTGCTGAAGATGTAAATTTTGTTTTGCTAATGGGGTAGCTGTTATAAAAGTGTCTTCGGAAGGGTGTAATTGGACCTTAAACTAAGAAATAACCGCTTTCACATGTGGGGTACCGGGTTCTGTATCTTTGGATCTCTTTATTCTCAAAGTTCATTATGTGATTGTCTAGTGCTGATTGTATGATGGATTTTGCCTGTTAAAATCAACCAATAGGAACCTATTCTTGTCTGGGAGAAAGGCCGTCGATTCAAATCCTATACAGGGGATGAAGCGACGCTCCCGCAGGATAGAGTTTGCAGAGAGTCTTGGTGTTTTGAATTCATCAGAGGCAGATGTCTTTGGGCTGCACCCTCCAAGTTTATCTAAATTTATCAGTCTTTATTTGGTTCGATTAATCTTTGATAATAATAAAAGGGGCACATTACTCCGTACTTGCTAATAAAGTTATAGTGTTTGCTTCTGAAATAAATAATTTGTGGAGAGCAGAAATTGTGTCGTTGATTTCTAGCAGTGGACAGGTTTTAAATATGCAGTTTCTCCGTTGCCTCAGTTATTACCATGACACGATCCTGAGAAGAGTCAAGTGGTCTACCAAAGCCGGCAAATAAATACAAAGATAAAAGGAGGATGGTTACACTGGCCACTGGCATCTTCAGAGTGTTATCTGTTTAGAACATTTTTGAGGATACGTCTTGTTTTGAGCAGAAGAGGAGTGTGTCCAACAAGCTCTTCCATATGGTGCCCACTGTATTTTAAAAATTGAGTGTAGTAACTTTCTAAAGATGATATAATGATATACGCTGTTTACTGATATTGATGCAGCCTCAAAGATGTTTTGGGCTCAGGGTAGCTGAGAAGGTTTGATGGGAAACCTGAAGGTGAATGGCTAATGGGACTGTGGTGAAGTATGATAGGCCTAGCTAACCAGTAGTGAATTTTTTGCTGTTTAGACATGAGTCCTGTAGTGGGAGGTTGGCTGTAGAGGGCATTGGAGCACAGGGCTGCTGCCAGGGTGTTCAAGGCTAACTTATGCTGAAGTTGTCTTTCATATCCTCAGGGAGGTTCCAGCTTCGCTCAGCTTTGTGGAAATGGAAGAGAAACATTGATTAAAACACCATAATTTGACCCAAACTGTAATTTAAATAATTAATACAGTTGAAAGGTACAGTGTAACAGTGTGAAGATAAGAGGATAGTATGAAGGAATAAGTGATTAAAATAATAAACTGATGGCCGGTACTACATAAATGTATTTGTTTTGTAGACGTTTTGTATGGAACTTCTTTCGCCTTGAGAATGAACATCTCAACAACTGTGGTAAGTTTCGAGCAGTGAGAGACATCTCGGTAGCTCCCATGGATACATCTGATCAGAACCAGATTATCCGAATGATGGACGATGAAGATGGTGTTATCAACAGGCGCAAGAAGAAACAAGGTCCTGCCAAAAAGAAGGAGGATCATCGTCTTCTATTAGAGGGGGAGTCAACAGATGATCCTGATAGTTAGGCTGCCACTGTTGTTCACAGATGTTTTTCTGAGATTGAGTTGCAAAACAGTGGTACTTTTGTGGTTTTAAGTGATACAGGTATGTCTCTAATGTTAAGTACAACTTTCTGCCAATTATGTGAAATTTTATATGTATTTTTATTGTGTTTTGGTCCTTGGCTGTCATGATAACTGTATATTGACTGAATCTGTTGGTATCTAGATTTCAGATTGTGATTATCTGGGCTGTGAAGAGGTTAGTCTTGAAGGTGGACCCAACAGTTGACAGGAACAGGCTGTGTTGTTCTTCAAGACCAATCCTGATGATGGCCCTAATCCAGAAGTCCACAGTCTGAACCCCCATGAAAACGCGAAAAGTTATATTAGTTCATTTCTGATCAGAGATAATATGTACTTAAATTTTTGTTGCCATGTTGTTGATCTGGCTGTCAGACTGGAATCTTCATTGTTACTTCCAAAGAAATGTTTGGAGTGGTAATTTTGCTGGAAGACTTCATAGGTGTGTTCTTAGAATATTTTCTTCAAATAAGTTTTATTTGAGATTGTTCATAGTCACTGCTGGGAGAATCATCAAACTGCAGGGTGTTAGAGCCTAGAATATAGTAATATTCATGCTTCGTATAGAGGCATCTCAGATTTTGCGTTTTTCGTACTCACCCTTGCTCTGCCATACCAGATTGTACATCAAAGCAGAGAAAGATAAATGACACAGTGAAAGTCAGCTAAGACAAAACAGCTTAAAAACGTTTCCCTGTGTAAGATATTAAAATCATTTTATAAAAATAAACTTTCCTGTATGCTTTTTGTACATTTTGCCTTTTAAATAAGTTCCACTGTGGAAAGGATTTCCCATGTGAATATCATGCATCTAGCTTTTTACCCATTTAATATTTTTAATATAAAAATATGTAGAGTATAATTTAATTCCCACATTTGTCTTCCACCTTTTCATCCTATTATTTTCTTTATATAGGGTGTCCCACGAGTTTGGTGCCATACTTCAGGAGCGTATGAATTAATTCCCACATTTGTCTTCTACCTTTTCATCCTATTATTTTCTTTATATAGGGTGTCCCACAAGTTTGGTGCCATACTTCAGGAGCGTACTCAGGGTTCCCTATAGAAGAACTTTGAAATAGGAACTCATATCCGCAAATGTAAAATAGCAGCGCTAGTGCGGCATTTAAAATCATTTCATTTAAACTTGGCGCCTCAATGTCGAACTGCATTGCATAGAGGAACAGCCATCCACCAGCACTCGTGCCATTGCCAAGATTGTGGGGACATCAAAATCAAGTGTTTGGAGGATCCTGCATGACCAACAGCTTTGTCCGTATCATCCAATGCGAGTACATGATGTAGGTCTAGCTGACATCGTACCACGAGTTCAATTTTGTCAGTGGATACTGAACCAGTGTTTACATTCACTGAGACACACAAGTCAATAGGCACCACAGAGTGTATATACGGGGATCAGAACACGGGTACCCCCGGTGAATGTAAATTTCAGAGTTCTCCGCAAACACCCTCTGAATGGTAAATATCTGCCCTGGTCACCCAAAATTCGGACAAAGGACATCCCTCTTCAGATTATGATTGGCTGAACCGGGCACACTGGGAGGTTGCTTAATCTTTCTCCTCCAATTAGAAGAGCATATATCCATGTGTGTAGAGTTTTTAGGGGTGAACTTTGCCACCTGCTGTGTGGCTGTCAAACTGGAACTTGGGGTAGCATAACACGACACTGCTAAAATTATGACTTCCCCTGTCAAAGTTTAGAATTTCTAAAGAACTCGGTCTTGTGTTACACATTAACTTGACTGGTTTACGGATGGGCAGCTGGCTTCAAGCTTGACCCAAGCCACTTACTGCATGTCTCAGGGGGGAAATCTGAAATTGTGAGACGAAAGTGAGGAATTTCACAGAACCCTAACCATACATAAAACATCAATTGACCATCCCATAAATTGGACAGTTACAACCTCCCAAGCGAAATAATGACTATTCTGGCTCAGCCTGAATAGGTTAATATTTCTTCTTACTGCCATTTCTCGTCCACTTCCACGCACAAATGTTAAAAAAAAAAACTAAATGTAAATACGAGGGGGGACCCAAAAATAACCAGAACCGATCTGTTGCGCACGCATGCTTTGCAGTTACGAATTGTGCTGCTAGGTGGTGTTAGCTGGGGGTCTCCCGCGACTGTTAGTGAGCTGGCGTCAGTCTGAGTTAAGTGGTTTGTCTGTGGTGCTCTGTTGTGTGTGTTCCTGTTTCAACCCTTTGGCGATTAGTGAGATGGATCGTACCCGTAGCACCAAGACTCATCGCCAGTCACAATTCTTTTAAGAAATTCTGGATTGTTCTGCACTTCACTCTTCAAGTCGCGGCAAACATTCACGCAGTTTTCTCTTTGGTCATCTCCGAGCAAGCGAGGAACAAATTTTGCAGACACCCGTCTCATGTATATGTCAGTATGTGTAAAGTCAGGGGAGTAAAGATGAGGCAGTGTATAGAGACATGTTGCTTTATACCCAGTGCTTGGGAAGCCATATTAAATGTACAGGTTTCAATACATAACAGTGTGAAGCAAAGTATCCTAACCCAGTGGCAGGCTGCAGCATGGTATCGGTCCCTGGCATCAATTATGCCAGGCCCTGTCTTATAAAAAAGAATTTACCAGGCTGTGGTCTCAGAAAAGTTGAGAACCACTGCCCTAACCTACATGCATTGTTATACTTTAACCAGTCAAACAATCATTTGCTTTTTTCTTTTTGGGCTGTTGGTCTATATAGCTCCGTTGTGTGGGGTTCAGAAACCTTCATTTGCAGAGATATGCCTCTTTTCCAGTGCAATGAATGTCACTGGATTAGTACGAGTGTTCTTTAGTTTTATGAAATAGAATACAGCAAACAGAAAATCGGGCAAATTTTTGTTTTGGGGGCCTGAAGTGAAGTGCAATGTGGAGGGAAAATATGATTCATAACACATGATATTGGTTAAAATTTAACATTGTATGTATGGGAATTTGGCCAGAACCAAATAAAAGGTTGATAAGGCTGTGAAAAAAAAAAAAAATCTGTGAGCACAGAATTGAAGAAGCTTCACTGTACAGGCTTAATGTTACTACTACAGCAGTCTGCTTGCTGAACTGTTGTTTGTGTGTAAAGGAAGGTAGTTTTGTTTGTATTCTGGTAAAAAAAGTTAAAGAAGCTGTAACTAAATATTTTATGTGAGTTACAGGGACAGGATACTCAGAGCACATTACAGTCTGAGACTTGTTGCAGAATGACAACAGCATGAAAGTAAGACATGTTTTAAGATCTGTGATGGTGTGTCAGTGAACTGAAATGTGTTGATCATTATCCATAATTTAATTTTATTTAAAAAGCATAACATTTTGAAAGCTGATTTCACTTCCATCATCAGTAAAATTGTTAAAACTACTCTGTTGGGTCCATTACATTAGGCTGATCTCACTTTCTGGTTGGAGGATGCATAACTGCATATCCTTCTACATCATCAACATGCATGTATGAGGTCTGAATATCTTAAAACTTAATAATTTATTAAAATAAATAAGTTTTGGCTGAATTTATGTTTAAGATTTTTTTGTACTTATCCCAGTTTCTGTAAGGGTGCATTTATGCCCTGTATCATGAATTTCATGGTTATATTTTATTATTTCCATCATGTGAAATTCTATAAACCAAAATATTAACATAAATGTATACTGTATTTACATTCAAAATCCAGATTACTTTCAACATTATTCTAGATATTGTTGTGTCTGTGGTATCTTTTATGGTGTATCATCATTGGATATTGACAAAGGCCATTACATCATTAGAAAGTTACTATAATGTTTTCAGCTCATGATGGGAAGCAAAAAACACAGGATTTTCTTCTGTAAGGTTGCCTGCTCAGCATATGACATATATTCAGAACTTTTGGCAAGAGCACATTAAATTTTTACTTTGAGTAGACAGTCTTACAGCAGGAAAGTCCTTATGTTCAAAAAGATCTCTGGTGTGGTGATTTTGGTTGTCATTGTATGAAGTAGGATCTAACAAGTTCTGATGATGATATAACAGTGTTTCACTATCTGATGATGAAGTGCCCTGCAGAGATGTTTTAGTCATCAAATTTTATGTAAACTGATATCACTATGTGCCATCTTTGTATGAGATGTATGATTGCTGTGGGAAAGTTGGTTAAAATATGAGGAATATATTGAATAATTTAAAGTTTGGTTGCTATGGAAAGCAAATGACTCATGAAGTACTCTTATTGAATTTTAGTTTGTATTCAAACAGTCCATCACAGATGCATTTTTCTTTAATGACCTTTGAATGAGGGGTCAAACGTTACTCCGTGGTTGGATGCTGTTTTCTGAGTATGGACGTTTATGTTCATTCTCTGTACATTCATGTGGTATTAGTTGTAGACAAAGCAGAGCTCTGATTTCTGCCTGGTTCATGCTGATTTGTTGCTTTACATACTCTTCAACCCTGAAGATAGAGGCAACATGTTCCTTGAAAAATCAGTTGACTTTCAACGGACTACACAGAGTAATATTGTAAGATAATGATTTAGTACCACATATTTTGTTCAGTTGTAGAGTGTGCTAATAGCATCTTCTTTATTAAAACCGTCACAACACAACTATATCAAAGTCAGTGCCTAGTTTTGGCCCTGCTACATGTTTCGGCTATTAAAAGCCATCATCAGACAAATACATGGCCAACATATATACAGCCACTGAACTGCAGTACTAATAAAATTGGATACAATAATATTAATTATATTAAAATACTTGGCATAAAAATGCAATGAATTAGTTTATATAAAACAAAATATATAGTATAAAACAAGAATAAAATTCTTCAATTGATGCTTTACATCATTGAGTCAGTCGTTGGTTTTTGTGGTTTTATTGCATTCCCACGGACAAATTGGAGTATTCTATGTTTTGTGTATATATATAATAAACTGTTATTGGAGGCTTGTGATGTAGCTGTAGTAATATTAATGTTAATTATTTAGTCGGTGCCTCATCTTAGAAAGTATTGTCCGTTCTATAGGGAATGAAAAAAATGCTAATAGCATCTTATACACTTAATTGGGTTTCTGGACTTTGTCATGACAGGACACTGGTCATGTGAACTGGACCATCGATACAGCATGAAGAAGGACTTCTTCAAGGTGGAGACAAAATAGACGTGTCTCTTGCTCGTTGTATTGTAAGGAGGTGTATGCTACATGTTTCGACCTTTACCCAGGTCACATAAAATAAATTCACAGAATTACTGGGTTTTTGGACGTGTTCCATCATCTGGAATTCAGGAAATAGAAAACACGACATTTCGGAAACTGGATCTGTTTCCGTCTTCAGGTAAGGAAGGAAGACACCTACTCAGTTGGGCCCCTTAGAAAGATCTAATCCCAATCACTGGACTGGTTGCAGTTTCTTCAATTTGTGCTGCTCCATTCAGTAAGATGTGTTCAACTCAGGCTAATAACAATTTTTGGAAATCGCGGTTGCCAGTTTCCTTGGGGTGCCTTTGCCCTAATACAAGTAGAAAACTAGATCAGATACGAGTGCCTCTCAACACAATGGATGTCTTAGTTGCTTCTCCTGCCCCCTCTCATCTGTCGGAAACTAAACAGGCATAAGCTACCAGTAGTCAACAAAACGATGTCTCAGACGAACATACTGTGCACACGGAAGATGCCCCATTCTTTCTGATTTAATGTCGAATGGTAGGCATGGCCTAATTTGAGGTACCATGTGGGCATTTCCTTGTGGGAACTATCTGACAGAAAAAAAACAATTCACAATTTAAGAGTAAGAACCGGTCAAAAGCAGAATTTATTTACTGCCACCGCATTCCAATGTGCCCTCTCCCCACCCCTTGAACCCAGTGGTAGTCCATCACTTTGATGTGCAAGGTCACTCCACTTGCCCAGTCTACATCAATGATCACTGCTGCAGCAATTGCTTCTAGAGTCTTTTGGGAGTAACATCTGCCTATCGAAATGCTGCTCAACTTGTACTACATGATCGCCAGTCCCCCCTGCCGCTCCGTTATGCTGCTTTCAAAACCGCTTGGACTGGAACTGAACTTCAAGCATGTTGATGTGCTGAAGAAAGAACACTTGGAACTCGACTTCTTAAAGGTACGTGGGAAACTTTGTAAACGTGTTCGTTATTTTGATTCGTAAGTTAGGCATATTCTTACGCCAGCAATTTAGTCACGACTAATGGCACAATTTTATTGTTTAGAGTTGACTGATGATGGCCGAAAGACCGACATTTCAATAAACTTCAATATTGGAGACAAAATCTGTGGTCAATGGATATGCTGTATATTATACATTAGTATTCATTATTGACTATGAAGAATGCCGTCTTCTGGGATGTGGCGCCACATAGATATTGTGTTAACCGACGTTTCGGAGGAATGTATCACCTCCATCTCTAGGGTATAAGAAATCCGCGAGCGAAGAGCCAGCGTGAGCAGGTGCTCTTACACATCCCAGAAGACTCATTCTTCATAGTCACCGCCGTGAAAACCTGGAATCCTACGTTATTGATTACTTGTTACATTTTGAACTTTGTCACAGGTTATCGGTAAACTCAGAGGCAAAGGACTGCACAATGAGAAAATCAGGGTTCTATTTGCGACAAGTGAAGATATTTTCCTCTTCGCCATAGTTTCCAGGCTGGCTTTGTATGCCACACGGAGACCAATTTGCTGGGGTTAAAGCGACTGGGGGGGGGGAATCTAACCACTGACCTTTATCTACTGACAAGGTTAAGAATTCGCAAAGCCATACTTCCAGTCCCCAGTACCTTGGTTCAGTGGTTTACAAAATGAGGGCGCCAGGGGGCGCTGGATGTGGGCCCCTCCGAGACCGTTTTCCGCTTCGGTTTAGACCAGATATTGGGAAATTGGTATCACTTCATGAAGCCCATCCATCGAACTTTATCCTTTGCCGTAATATTCCGTTAATAAACATATAAAAACCTATGTTTAACATTTTTCAATTGCCCATTTCCGTCAAGCTGGAACCAAGTACCACATAAGTAAAGCAAAAGTAAAGCTATCCGTGTAACAGGCCGTCGAGGCCCATAGTGTTGTGAGACGTTGAGGTTGAGCCAAGTCACCTCAAACCCCAGCAGTTAGGTGGGACCAGTCCTTAACAATTTGCAGTTTATCTTTACCCAGGAATAACCGCTGGCGCCCAACATACCCATTCAATTAATTCCCGATCCTGCCAATATTCTGGCAGGAACAATGTACTAATTACCTCCGAACCTATTACATTCTACAAATACGTGATATTCTGGCCGTCAACAAACTATAAAAATAAACCAGTCTAATTGTTTGCATTGGTTTTATCTAATATTAACAGCTATATATGTCGGTCGGGCAGGCGGTAGCGTAGTTGATTGAAGCACTGTGCTATATAAGTCGATAGGGCGCGGGTTTGATTCCCGATGAAATCATTTGATTTTTCAATTGATGTAATCTTTCCAACCGCACTATGGCCCTGGGGTCGACTCAACCTCTAACAGAAATGAGTACCAGGAATCTTCTTGAGGGTAAAGGGCGGCCGGCGCGTAAGGCTGACTACCTTACCGCCATCTGTAAGCCGACTGTCTAGAAAGTGTGGGCGCCTCGACGTCTCAAAGCCCCATGGTCCTTCACGGCCTATTACAGGGATAACTTTAGCTTATATATTTTGGTCCGTATTTAGGACCATCTTCAGGAAGTTTCATTAAATACGTCTCACGTTATTGAGATGTCCTAATATGGATCCATATTAGTATTAATTATGTTTATCGTGGTATATGTAATTATTAATAAATTATAAAAAATATGTTAAATTTTAAAAGTTCTCTCGTCGTTACTACGTAAAATTCTGTGTTGTTTGACACGCGATATGGGTGCTGTTTATCTTCTGGGGCCGCTGTTATGTTTTTATGTGTTCGGTAATATTCACGAATGCCATTCGTTTTTCAGTCTTTTATGCCTGATTCTTTGTGTCTTCTTGAATATGACGTTGTGGTTGAGTTTTTTCTCCCTTTAGAGTGTGTTATGTGCCTGTCATGGTAGCCGAGGTGGCTAAGGCATGAACTATCTTCCCTCGCTCGGATTCCGGGATCGTGGGTTCGAATCGCACACCAGACATGGATGTCTGGTATGTGTATTTCTTTATTCTCTGTTTGTGTAGTCCTGTGTTTAGGTAGAGGCCTTGCGACGAGCTGATCACTCATCCAGGGAGTCCTACCGTCTGTAAAATGAACACGAAACTGAAAAATCAGAGGCCAGGGGGCTGTAGAGCCAGTTAAAGAAGAAGAGTGTGTTGTGTGCTTATTGTATGGAGGTTTGTTTTCGAGTTTTTCCTCTTCCTGATTTCAATGTAAGCGATTGGTAGCTCGAATATAGCGAATAATTTCCATGTGTTTAATGCACTTTGCTTAGTAGCTTCCACTTTATTCCATTTTAGGTCGGCTTCAGCGTGTAGTCCTGGCAATTTTACTACTTTTTCAAGCGCAATCTTCTTGTCATTAATAATAATCGCCCACTCCTATTCTATTCGAGGTCTCATATTCCTAAATATAAACAATTTATATTTTTCAGGAGCTAATTATAATCCGCTGCTATTGAGATATCTACTTAACTCTATGGCTGAGTTTTCCGGCTTAGGTGGGGCTTCATCTGGACTTGTATCTATAGTGTAAATAGCCACGTTGTCTGCAAATTCGAACACTTTGCGTATTCCTTTAACGCTTTTATCCAGAGACGCCATGTAAATATTACACACCAGCGGACTTAAAGACACTTCCTTGAGGCGCGCCGTAACTTTTCTGTTGACGTCAGTAGTGTCTGATCAGATGCTAAGTTATCTTTCTGAAGTAACGTTTTAGCATTAGCTTTGAGCTTGTCATTTCTGCTAGTTTTTCAATTAAGTTATATTTATCAGTACATTATCGTACGCTGCTTTCATGTCCAGAAAAACAGCTCTAACTATTTTGATTTTTTCAAAGGCATTTGCTATGTCAGAATACACCAGTGACAGGCTATCCAGGCAGGATTTATTTTCCCGGAATCCAAACTGTAGGTTAGGTAACTTTTCGTGGTGGTCTAGCCAACAACTTATTGTGCAGTTTATTTTTAAATTTTTCCCCATCCGCTTTTGAGATGAATGTTGTGTATTGTTTCCATTCATTGGGGAAATCTGCAGTCTGTAGCCTCTAATATCGATGCAACTAGTGACATTTGGCCTTGTCCATAAGTACTCGCTAACATATGCGCCGAACATACATAATGCCAAAATACCGACAGAATTCCATTATAGCTGTTACTCTTCTATATAAAACAATATTTTGCATTCTATTCTCCGAATAGTTTCGTGTATGGTTGTTTAAATTGCCATTTAATTATTAAATAAATATCTTTGATTCATTTATTTCGTGATAAGCCGTTGTAACCTCAGTCAATCTTTTGTCGAGCCCCGTCGCATTGTATTTTAAAATCAGTTTATACGAAGACAGTCGGCTCCTTTCCTCACGGTGTCTAGTAATCACTGCTCTGCGCCGTTTTTCTTTCCGGCAGTGGAAAAGTCTGTGAGACATCATCATCATCAGTAATCTGTCAGACGACAGGTCCACAGTCTCTTCCGAAACAATTGCTCCACTTAATGCCATCTAGAGCTTTCTCCTTCAAATGACAGTATCGTCTTCTCGTCACTTCTATCCGCCCCTCTATCTTTCCTTCAATAGCTTCTTTTAGAAGGCAGTTTCTGCGTAAAACATGACCAATCCAATTAGCCTTCCGTTTTCTTATTTCATGTAGGATATTCCTCTGCTCACTGACTGTCTGTGAGACACGTCTTATATTTTCATTTCTATGTCGGTATTCCCTTGTGAGCCCCTTCATTGCTGGTAGAAATTTAATTTCTGAATCCTGTAAATTAATGCAGTTCTTTGATATAGGAATCCGAATTTTGCACCCATAAAGTAAAAAAGACACTTCCACCATCTTATGAAATTTCAGTAGCGTAGCATAGCGTAGTTTTCGTCCCTTCGTGTCAGGCGTGTTGTTCCACGCCTGTTTTGGAATCTCCGAGGTTTATTTTTCGTGTCGTAATTAACAACCTAGAAATTCAAAATTTGAAAACTTCCCGAAAGCTTGATCATTAAATATAATTTTCAATCAAACAGGATATTATCCTCTGAATGCCTTAGATTTGTGTTGAAATTTTAAGGGCGTCCTTTACAAAAAAAAATGATTGGAAATAATATTTCGCAATGTAATGACCTAAGTTCACAACGGCTTTCTTTACAGCTTATTGTGCTCACTTGCGACCGGTTTTTAAACGGCATTTCAGCAAAATACAAAATTTATTGGCCAAAACGAACAGAATACATGTTTAAATGTCATAATATTGTATAACATGGGATTAAACAAAATCTGCGAAACGGTTGATGGAATACTGTGTATATACTGTATATATATATATATATATATTAGGTATTTTAACCATTTTCACGAAATGTAGTATGAGCGTTATGTGGAGACCGATCCAATCTGAGGAATGTGCCTCCTGAGTTTTCAGGGTAGATGGTGTGCCACGTTTCTTCGAAACGTCGGTAACCACGTTACACGGCATCACATCTCATGAAACAGGAGATATTAATGACTGCGGTATTGTATCCTCCGGCCTTGCCCTCTGCATTGCTCTGAACCTCTAGCAGCCGAACAGTAGCGGACACAGCATTGTTACTGATTGAGCTGTTGGCAGTGACCGCACTGTCAGACTATTGGTCAGTAATTTCAACACAGTGAGTAGATGGCAGCATAATGTAACCCCCAACCACGGAATAAACCTAAATGGTACGGTGGCCTTGTCACCAACCAATAGCACTGCTCATCTGTCCTTTACTCATCTCTGGTATGAATAGTGGGGTAGTTGATTTTGAACGTATTAAACGTTTTAAATGGTGTGAGCGGTGTGAGTACAGGCAAATGTTATGTCATTGATTGATTTCGGTTCGTAGTTAGTGCCCTTCTTCACGTAATTAGTTACATAATTAGTAATGAACTAGGTAAGTTCACTGAATGTGTGTTCTCGAGGGAGTACATACGAAGTTTCATACTGCGTCTCATATGATCGGCTATTATTATTTTGTAATTGGGATAAACTTCAAAATGCTTGGCATATACTTCGACTTTCGAACTTTCATACTGCCCATAGCTTTTGTAATGCTACCTCCTATGGAGAAGGTTAGACGGCGCGAAATTTAAATCATTCAGAGAATGTATGTAATTATATGATTGAAATTTGAAGACTTTTTGGAGAGAGTACATTAATGCTTTGGTAATTCCTCTAGCTGGGGACTCTTGGAATACTGCAGACGGATGTTGACGAAGAGTTTGGTAACGACAGTAGAGTCGGCTGACACCACTTGTAGGTGCAGTGGGCGAAGCAACCATCATCCTTACTGATCTTTACTCCCTCAGCCAGTTATACAGTTTAGGTTATGATCTTGGTTAGAGTTTCTGTATGCTATACCAGAATTCGCTAATTCGTTTCCTACAATTTCAGGTAATGTAACAACATGCTTTTCAAACTTCTTACAGTTACTGTATTGACAATCTCTACTGCCAACATTTTGTAGCAGTCATGCATTAAGTACACCACCTGTCACCATATTCTGAAGGTATTATTATTATTATTATTACTATTATCAGATTATTTCAAATTCCTGTGGCCAAACTTAGGAGGTTGTTGGGATCATTTGCAGAAAAAATATAAAGAAGCAGTTGTCTGTTTCACTACCACCATTTTCGGGTTATGACATCTCAAACTTTGCCTCTTTTTTTTTTGGTATGGTCATGTGTTTGAGCCTTCATAACTTCACAAGATGGGACTTATGCTGCATTCTGTTATGTCTCGCATTACTACACAGGGCACTGTATTGATAACAGCAGAATTGAAATGGCATGATTGACTAATGCAGAGTGTGAAGATAATTCATCAGGTTGCACTCGTGTGAAACGGGCCTCTCTCAGGGTGCAGTTTGACAAACACTACATGAGAACAGCTGTTCCTTTTCTTGTGCCACTTGCACAAGGGCTCCAGCCAAGGAACAATAATCTTTGCCTCCGGTTCCATTAGTGGCTTTGCTTAGAGCTGTAGAAGAACTTGATTACCTGAGGCAGGCATTGTGGACTGATAAGGCAGCATTCACAAGACTGGAGTAAACACTCCACAACCTGTAGGAGGGGGCACTGATGAATCCTTGTGCAAATTGACTCTGTTTCTTCAAAGATTTGGCTTCAGTGTTTGGACTCAGATTATAGGCAATTACTGAATTGGAGCATATCTGACAGTGAATTGTCTCAATAGAATTCAGTATGCCAAGTTCCTTCAAAGACCACTTCCCCTCTTATTTGAGAATGTAACTCTTAATAATGGGGAGGGTGTGTGGTTTCTGCACAGTGGTGCTCCATCCCACTTTTCATGCCAAGAGCAGAATTGGTAGAGCAGTAGTTTTCCATATACATGGAACAACCATGGGGATACAGTTGTCTGGCATCCATTTTCTCATGATCTGATCCCACTTCATTTTATTTTTGCCAATATGTATCAAAGAAATCATTTATGCCATGAAGTACAGCATTGTGTAGATGTGGTCAAACACATGATGGTAGCCGCAACACAACTAGTCAAATGGTTCATAATAAGGAATCTCAGTGTCACTGTGAAGTGGATGACTGAGCTGGAGGACCTAACTTCAGCAGTTCTTGTAAAGAAATATGTAGTGCGTCCCCACTGCACAGATGTGTGATAAACGTAATGTAAAACTCAAGCTCAAAAGAGATGATAACCTCAGAATCTTTGCTTTTCATTCATTATAATTAAAGATAACAAATGGAGGTATTAAGTCCAGATAACTGCATGTATACATGAGTAGACAGTTATATAATTTTCTTAAGGTTGACTTCGAGAGTATACTACAAACAACTTGAAGCGTATAAATAAAATAAAACATACATACACACATAAATATATACTTACACTCCAGGTTCGATTCCCAGTAACATCATTGGATTTTTCAGTTGACCTAATCCTACCAGCCGGAATATGTCCCTGGGGTTGACTCAGCCTCTGACACAAATGAATAACAGGAATCTTCGTGGAGGGTAAAGAGTGTCCAACGCATAAGGCTGACAGCCTCACTGCCATCTATGAGCCGATTGTCTAGAAAATGTGGGAGCCTCAGTGTCTCTCAACCCCATGAGCCTTCACAGCCTGTTACAAGGATAGCTTTACCTTACCGTAATTTTCTTAAGAATTGATGAAATATCATAACTCGACTAGAATGATTAATTAAAAGTGATAAATGTGCATTTTTGCTTCAAATTATCTTCAGAACAATTTCCCAAATTTTGGCCATAGGAATTTAAGCTCTCCTGCATACTTTTCTATTGAATCATAGAATTATTTTTTAGAAGTAATATTAATTTATTTTTGATGGGGTAGTTGTTTCTAATTTGTTTTGTGGAAGGGAGGTGTTATTGATTAAATATCAAACCCCTCCCTTGCAAATTAACTCCATGAAGGTGGCAGTTTCTCAGTACCCTTTCAGATTTACCAGAATGGCATATGCTACACCAGGTGTGGCTAGTATGAAATACCTGTTTTTATGAAGACTAATGTTTTGTGGAATGTGATTTCATGCAGTTTGGTAGATAGATACCAACATTTCGGATAGGTAACAGGCTCTTTCAAAACATTGATATGTAGCTACGAGAATGCATGATGGCATGTCCCAGAAGCCAGTGGTCTTCATACTTACCATCATGAGAACCTCAAGAGTCAGAGTATTTTGTATTTTTCTGAAACAGTCTTTTACCTGTAGTACATAGTTTGCAAGTATTTGAAAACAAAGTGTGCGTGACAATGTTCTGATCTAAACGAGATGAATTAATTTGGGATCTGAAGACATGAACTTCCTAAGTAATACAAGTTTTTTAGTATTCCTAGGCAAGTTAAATTCAGTAGGTTATGATGGGCTAGGAATGTAGCTTGTATGGGAGAAAGGAGAAATTCGTATACAAATTTTTGGGATGATAACTTAAAGAAGGCCGCGAAAGAAATGGCAGGATTGTATTAAAATGGATCTTGGAGATGGAATTTGACCAAATATGAACTGATCCGATATAATTTGTATTAGTGTTATTGAAGTTTCTGTTACATGAAGAAGATCCTCATCATTTGGAGAGGTTGTATAATGACAGCAATTATCAGTGACAGAATGTTCTGATTGTATGATATTTTAAGGTCTAACAAGCTGGAAGGTAGTGGGTTTGATTCCTGATGAGGTCATTGGGTTCTTTCAATTGATCTAATCCTTTCAGCCGCACTATGAGCCTGGGGTTGACTCAGCCTGTAACATAAATGAGTACCAGGAATCTCCCTGGGTGTAAAGGGCGGCTGACGCATAAGGCTGACAGCCTCACTGCCATTTGTGAGCTGATTGTTTAGAAAATGTGGGAGCCTCGATGTCTCACAACCCTATGGATCTCCACAGCCCATTACAAGAATTGTTTTTTTTTTTTAACCAGAAGACATAGAAGTCTTGAAATTTTTCATAGGCATATACATCTAAATATGGATAATAACTTATGGGAATAGTACTATTACTGTATGTAAATGTTACTTGTGGTCTGCCTCCTCAATAGCTGAGCAGTGACAGTATAGCATATAAGTATAGGATTGGATTCTTTAGTTTATTTTGTATCACCATTTTAATACCCGTGTAAGATTTGTCAGGGACTGGAATTCATGCAGTTGCAGAGAGAGAAAAGTCTGTCCTTAGGAGATAAGAATTTATGCAAGTAAATACACCAAAATAGAGTTAGAGAGCAATAAGGTACATTTTCTGTCAAACAGGATCGCAGTAAAACACGCTGATGCAAAAAATGAGAAAGAAAGGTAGAGTTTTACGTGAACGTCCTCCCCATGATCAGCCGACAGCCAGGGACTTAAGGTCCAGAAAGGAACACATTACTCCCCATCAGATTCGATCTGGAATCCTTAAGGATGAATCTTTACCTACTGAGCGGAGTCTGCAGAGTAAGTAATGCAGGGGAAGTGTGAGATTGGCCTTAAAATGTAAGAATTACCTATAGTTATAAGCTGTCAGAGTTGGTCCCAGTGTAACAAGTGTAAGTTACCTGTTTATTTTTGGCCAGTTAAAGGATATGTTGATGCAGACAATTCAGTAGAATTCCACTGTAAAGTTAGCTTCCTGTAAAGAAAATTCTAAGATGTTTCTTACCTTTCTATATACAGAATATGCATACAAAATTCATTTAAGGATTTAATGAAACTTTCAGTGTTGGTATAAGAAACATAATACAATTTCACATTACCACTGGTATCCTGTAACAACAGTTGTGTGTGTGTTGTTGTTGTTGTTGTTGTTGTTGTTGTTGTTGTTGGGTTCCCTCCCCCTCAAAGTATGCATGTGGAAGTCTGGACATAGGTTGTGTCTTTCTGTCTATGTCAGCTCCTAAATCACAAAACAGATTTTGATTAAATTCAGCTAGCTGGAATGTTTAAGGGGCAGGCATAAAATGGTGATTGAAACTGATTATGCTGTAAGCAGATGTGTTTTCATGTGGCACTGAATTAATGGTGGCTTCTTAAATAACCCATGACATCCTATTGGAGTTGACAATCCCGGTCTTCTGAAGATCTTTCTGGATTATAAACCAGGGCCAGATTGTGGCACAAGGCATTTCCTACCTGTACAGTTTGTGACCCACGTTCCTTATTGATTCCTATAAATGTAGTTGTCCATAAACTTCAAATGACTTCCCTCTTCTTGCTTTTGCATTATTTGGATGGCTGCTGATTAGATGATGAAACTGAAAAGTGCTCAGGATGCACAAAGAAGTGAAATTTCTTCTATGTATTCATGAAACTGCCAGTTTAAGCAGGTAAGCCACAGGGGCAATATTAAGCAGAGGAACTGCCTGTCACATAATGAGACTGTCTGACTGGATGGATATTTGGAAATTATAATATGAAGACCTCTGAGGGTTCCACACAGTTTCATTGTAATTAGCCAGTTCATTCAAAAGTTACTGGAAGCACCAACCTATGGCATTACAGAAAAGAGCTAAGTTTAAAACTGGTCAAAAAATGAGATAAGTGCATCACAAAATTCGGCTTGTTAAGGGGTTCAATGCAAACCAAGTTATGTCTTAAAGCACAGTATTTTCCATTCAGTGGCGCATGAAATACAGAATTAAGTACGTTACTGGATAAACATCTAAAGCTGTCTTTTCTGCAAAATGACGTTTGATGACCTAATCCTCTTTTCCATAGCACCACAATTATGTCATGCGACTTTTGGTGGTTTAAATGAGAACCAACCTCCTGGCAGCTGCATACTTCACTGTAAATTTTATGAGTGGGTCCAATAGACTTAATGTACCCACAAAAATCAGCAGTTAATAGTATTTTGTGGCAGTACTGCAGTAAAGATATTTTTCATGAGTTTCAAATGTTGCAATTTTTCCAGTAATGACTGCATATTTAATACTTGCTAATTTCCTTTTACTCTGTGTCTGCAGCTGATAAAAGCATGGTTCACCATTTGGATTCTGTGGCAGCATCCGCAGAGCACATTAGGCCACGGCGCTTGCTGGATGAATACACAGATGTGTCGAGCATTGCAATGACATCTGGATGGACAGAGTATCTGGATCGGACTTACCACCTTCATTCGGCCAATAAAAGGTATGTATGCTGAATCGACATAATTTCCGATGTCCATTGCACCTCTTGAGGGAAAGCAAAAGTCCCAACCCTATGTTGTTATTTTTTAATGTCACATGTTATTTGCAATTATACTGTCATGTATGAGGGGTAGCATGACTAATAATTGTGGGTTCTAGAGTTGATAATTGGATTTATTGGACATCTCTATTACAGTTACACTTGATTACAACAGTTCACACATTTAACTCCTCCTTGATAACAAATCTCTCGCTGTATTTCTTCTGGTTCTCGGACTGGTCTCTAGTTTTCTACTGCTCAGTAGATCTCTCCAGTATGACTCCTTCCCTGTTTGACAAATACTGCTCCTTTCATGACCTGGTGCGGACCGCAGACAGAACACCAGGTCTTACTGTTCCTCTGTTATTCTGCGTATCCATTGCCATGGTAATGTGTTGCTGCGGGAACAGTGTTTACCTAGCTGTTGCCTAGCAACAGATGACTGTGTTGTGCTTCTGTAACTGCACACTTCTAGCTTTCAGGCATCATGTCACAATACTATACGTAAATGAGTGAAATTTATCAAAATTGTGGAAGCTATTGTCAAAAAAAAACACGTAAATGACACATTCGTTAATAAATTGCGTTTCTTTTTCATGGTAGTCAGGCTTCAGTATCTGGTGGTAGTTCTCTTATTGAACAAAGCGGAAAGTTGGAAGAAATGTTGAAGTCACCTAATAAACAACCACACTTTCTACGTCAACGTAAGAATGTTGTACAGAAGGATGTTGGTGCTGCAGTGTTTGGGGTAAGTTCATAACTTGAGGCTTCCATGAGAGAAGGAAATTGTTAGAGATAGTACATGTATGGACATGTGCACAAGAGTGGGACAAGTAGCACCACACAAATTACATGCATCAGTACATATTATTATGTAAAGCATCTTTGTGTATGTGCCATCATCAGGTAATGACATACTAGATTATATTTTCAACACATGATGATGGCCACAATCTCCATACTGCAGATTTTGTGCGACACCCAGGAGCTTTCTTCCACAAGGTTGTCTCCTCAAGGTGTGCCATACCCTCAATGATGTTTTAGGCAAAGTACAGTGGTCATTAATTTTAACATGAAACTAGTGCAGAATCCTGATGCTTTGCACATGAGTTGCTTTGCAGTGTGAAAAGTGTACTTCAGTTTGCAAGATGTGTCAGAGTTGTCTTGTAGCTAATCAGGACTGCTGACTGTTGTAGTACAAATGTGTCATGGCATATGCTAGCAAATTATGAAACTGTTTATAGCTGTTCATACTGCAGGCAGTCAGATGTATACCAGTAAATAGGGTTATCATTTTGGACGTTGTCCATTGTCTGTTTTGAAGTACAGCATTTCAAAAACTAGATCTCTACCCTAAATAAAGTTTGAGGGAAATTGGGGCCTCTGGACCCAATGATCAAGACTAGCTCTTTCTGATGGGTCCAACTGAGCAGGAACTTTTCGTCCCTTGAAAATGGAAACAGTTTCAGATCCTGTAGTGGTGTATTTAAAATAAATCTTGATGATAAACACTGTCCAGAAGTAATGTTTATTGTGACACGTTATCGTCATTAACATTCAGATTTTGCTGATGTAACTACTGTCGGTCTGACAGTAAGGCAACCATCAGATTTATGAAGATGATGGGATGTAAAATTACATTGTATCTTCAAAATAAAATCATGTTGGATGGGTTATATTCTTCAACATAAAAATATTGTCATTAATATGCTATTATCACTGACCATGTTCAAACAGGCCTGATCACAGTGGCCACATGGTCGAAGGCATGAAGTCTTCGCCCGCTTGAACACTGGGGTCATGGGTTCGAATCCCTCTTGAGGTATGGATGTCTGTGTGTGTTTATTCCGTGTTTGTGTTCTGTGTGTAGGTAGCAGCCTTGCAAGGGGCTGATGCCCCATTCAAGGAGTCCTTCAACTATTTATAGGATTAAGAAACTGAAAAAGTGGCCAAGGGCCAAAGGGCTATAGAGCCATAGAAAGAAAGAAAAATATTCACACAGAAAAACATGGTACGTTTTGCTATGTAGTACACTTTGGTAAGATGGTAGGTTATTTTAAAGTGAGACGCGGCATTTAAAGCATCCTGTTCTGATCACTAAGTTAAGGTCAACATTAATTTTGCAGCAGAACTGTGGGACAAATTAAATAGGTCAGCAGTAGTTTTGGTGTCTTCTGCTTTTTCTTGTAAACGTTGCATGATGAAAAGGCTTGGAAATGTTAGGCCCATTCAATCCTGTAGAGGACCTATTACAATCACTCTTTTCATTTTCTGTACACATGTAACAACATGAGAACTTATGAATGGATTTTTGTTGGGTACTTCATTGCAATTTTTTGGCCCATCACTGAACAGGTTAATCTTGAGGTAACACGTTAGACGCATATTCAGGAGGTTCCTGTTTTGAATCTTGTCCAGTTTTTCCCAGTCCCTACAGTCAAATGTCAGGATAGGATAAATGATATAAACTCCGTCTCAAGTGCAAACAATATATTTTGTGTCTTTGATCTTGCTCCCTACACTACATGTTTCGGCCTCAGACGGCCATCATCAGGTGTATAACACCTGTGCAACAGGATGCTTAAATATAATATTGTCAGGATAGCCCTTTGATTAGACTATGATGACATCCTACCAAATTTTGTTCAGATTCATCATCCTACCATCTGATGCTGTATGGTCTCAGTTCTGAAAGTGGCATCAAATTGGCTATGGAAGAAGAATTATTGATCCATTCCAATTTTGGTTAAACTCAGACAGCAGTGATGGGCACTTTACATGAAAACGTGAACATGTTTTTGCACCTAACTTGATGTTAACTCATGCATAACTTGATGAATATTTATAATAGCAAGAAGACATGGTACCCTGTACAAAACACAATACAATATACACAAGACTTTATCACTGTCACACACATCAGATAAGAAGATGGAACATATGTCATTTAATACGCGGAAAACCACCATGCGATATGTGCACATAATTAAAAAAATGCAGACTCCCAGAAAACCCCTCTGTTCCGTGATACATCATCATAGACTGTCAGAAATTTTAATTCAGTTTTACGTTTTTAACTCCCAGCTGAGTTATGAGTTTTACATTTTAATACATTAAAACCTGCATTAAACGGAAATCTGTCTTAAATGGAAATATTTTCAGGTCCCTTGACTTTGGGGCTGAAAAAGATGTTAAATAACGGAAACTGTCTAACGCGGACAACGGAAATCAAAATAAGCCTTTATACGGAAAATTTCCAGTCTTCCGGAATGCATCGTTTAGAATAATTTTGGCATCCTATACATTCTACAGAATTTTGTTTTCCCTAACTCTTTAAAATAAGCTTCTAAGGGTACTGCACTACCTGCACTGAGATTCAGCAGAATTGTTTTCCCCTTCTGGAAATTGTATTCAGTAAGGGCTCTAGGCCTACAGTTTTACTTTAGTCTAGCAGTTGTCATCATGGCTACAAAGACAAGAGTGAGACCATTGAGAATGGGAAGCTAAATTGCCATCCATAATCGGGGATATGAACCTGAAAACGGTGATGAGACTGGACTGTTTTTCTGTGTGCTTCCGAATAAATGGCTATGTCCGAAAGGTGAAAAATGTTTGGGAGGAAAACTGTGCAAAGAAAGATTGACTGTTTTTCTGTGTGGTTTTATGTCAGATGAAATGGAGAAAACCTTAGTGATGGCAAGGCAGCAAAGCCTAGATGCTTCTGAAACATGGACACATGTCCGAAAGGTGAAAAATGTTTGGGAGGAAAACTGTGCAAAGAAAGATTGACTGTTTTTCTGTGTGGTTTTATGTCAGATGAAATGGAGAAAACCTTAGTGATGGCAAGGCAGCAAAGCCTAGATGCTTCTGAAACATGGACACATGTCCGAAAGGTGAAAAATGTTTGGGAGGAAAACTGTGCAAAGAAAGATTGACTGTTTTTCTGTGTGGTTTTATGTCAGATGAAATGGAGAAAACCTTAGTGATGGCAAGGCAGCAAAGCCTAGATGCTTCTGAAACATGGACATACAGAAACTTCCCGTTGAGTGGAGATCCAACAAAAAGGCATGGATGACGTCACAGATCATGGAGGAATGGTTAACGGCCTTCAATGGTAGAATGAAAACGCAAAACCGGCATGTTTTGTTGTTGGATAACGCAACATGCCACCCCCATATCGAACTTTCTAACGTGCGACTTGCTTGGTTCCTTCCAAACACCACTAGTGTTCCTCAACCAATGGATCAGGGCATCATTCGGAATGTTAAGGTCCACTATCGTAAATGACTATATTAATGCAATCTTTGCTCGTCAATATAGATTCTACATCATCCGCCTCTGAACTTGCAAGAACTGTCGGTCCTAGATGCGGTTATTTGGATAAGTCAAGCAGTAAAGAAGTTGTTACCAGAATCTGTGACAAAGTGTTTCGAAAAAGCAGGATTTTCTACGGTAGAAGTTACTCCTAGTGTAGAAAATGAGAATGACTAGAAGGACTTACAACATTGCATGAATGAAGCTGCTTTCAGTAACTGCAATGCTGAGGACTACATCAACATAGACAAAGATGTACAAACAGAACCAGACACAATGGATATCGATGTATTAGTTGAGAATTTTAGAGATTATCGAAAAGGAAGAGAGGAGGAGGAGGAGGAAGAGGAAGAGGAAGAGGAAGAAGAGGAAAATGACATTGTGATAGAAGAAGAAAAGTGTAGAGTGAAGACTTGTCAGGATGCTGCCAACAATTTAAAGGTACTGCAGGAGTTTGCCATGCAACGGAATGATTCAGACATGCTTACTCTACTTTCTCAAGCTAAAGTGTTTGTGGAAAGTCAGGCAGCCAAGAGAGTAAACTGCGTCCAAAAAAGTCTGCCGAGTTCTGGTAAAATTATAAAAATTGAGTACTGCAATTTTTTCCTGTTCAGTGTAATGTTTGTACATGTTCAATGATTATAACGTGAATAAATTAATGAGCATGTTGTTTTGTTTTGTCTCAAATACGTTTATGTCCTGGTTTAGTTATTATAGTATACCTTGATTAAACGGAAACCTGGCTTCAGCGGAAATTTTTTCTGGTCCCTTGAGATTCCGTTGTAAGACAGGTTTTACTGTACTAATATTCAAATTTATAATGAAACAGAAATCTTAATGAAATTTATATATTTGTTTATTATGAATTTGTTGTGTTGACAGTTGTGTAACAGTACTGTATAGTACTATATATTTGGAACAAAAGCTGCGGAGAGAGAGATGTAACATGTATTTCAAGCTGAGTAACAATTTTTCTCTGTGTCTTGCAGTTTTCAAGATAATAAACAAAAAAGAGAAAACATGCTAGAGTAGGTATGTTATGTGTATATTTGCTAAGCTGTTGATTAATGTAAATGTTCTACAGAACTTCTTGTTTACATCAATGTTTGACATTTTTTATTGGTCACACATGGGGCATAATAGCTAAATCACTGGAAGTGCATATGGTTGCGTATAACCTATGTTTTGTATATATATAAATCTGTGTGTTCTAATAATATGGATTTTTCTTTCATTAAGGCTGCATTCACCAGTCCCAAAGCCCAGATTTCAGCTGTGTCCCTATCACAGCCGAAGAGAGTTGGTGAAATTTCTGTGGAAGGTCTTGAAGAGACTAGTCCTATACTTAGTCGACCATTCAAGAGGAGAAGAAATGTGAAAGCAAACCCATCTGCTTTTGAAGAAGCTTTTAAAGATTTTATTCTCTCTCAAACAGATTCTACGCATGCTGTCACAGACAGGTAATCTCATGATGGGAAAATTGTTATACATTGTGTTGCTACTTTGACAGTTGTCACCCAATTACAGAATGTTGCACTGTACCAGATATATTGAATAATGTGCACACGTTAAAAATTGTTACCCACTAGCCTTGAATTAGATTGGCAACATTGTCTAGAACAGTGGTTCTCAAATATTCTGAGTCTGTAGAGTCTCTAGCAACACATTGCACACTCGAGGACACCCTGATTTCTCCACATTTAAATTATGTGTTTATCAACTTTACTGATTCAAATAAAATTATTTATTGCTTATACCACTTTAAAAGATATTCAGTGCATGGTACATTGTACCTCAGTCTCTTAATGGCAAAAATGGCTGAGTCACCAGTGTGTAAAGATATGCAATTTCTAGTGCAAAATTTTTGTATGCCATTATTCCAGATAAACAGATTTTGTAAAACATTAAAAAAAGTTATTGAAGTAGTTTTCCTTCTAAGTTATATTATAAGTTATATTAGGAAGGTAACATAAAAAAAAACAAAGGTAAAGTTGTTCCTGTAACAGGCCATGGGAGCCCATAGGGTTATGAGACATCGAGGCTCCAACGTTTTCTAGACGATCAGCTTACAGATGGCTTGAAGGTCTCAGTCTTACACGCTGGCCGTCCTTTACCCCCAGGAAGATTCCTGGTGTTAATTTCTGTTAAAAGCTGAGTTGACCCCAGGGCCATAGTGTGGCTGGAAGAATTAGTTCAATTGAAAAATCCAATGACCTCATTGGGAATGAGCTTGTAGCTTCCAGCTTGTAGCATAGTGGGAAAATATTGCAGAAGTTGAAGTGTTTTTTCAAGGCCAAGTGACAACCACCATTAGTGCAGGAACTCAGCTGAATCATACATAATGATACACAGGATTTATCTTGGGATAAAAGAAGGACTGTAACAATGATACACAAGCGCACTTCATATTTCATGTTATAATTGCATCTTATCTTATTGATAACTTGGGGCATGCGGTAGCATAGTTGGTTGAGGTACTATGCTACAAGGCAGAAGGTCATGGGTTCAATTCCCAATGAGGTCATTGGATTTTTCAATTTTCATAATCCTTCCAGCCGCCCTGTGGCCCTGGGGTGGACTCATCCTCTAACAGAAATTAGTACCAGGAATCTTCCTGTGGGGGGGGGGGGTAAAAGGCGACCGGCGTGTAAGGCTGAAAACCTCACTGCCATCTGTGAGCCAGTTGTCTAGAAAATATGGAAGCCTCGATGTCTCACAGCCTGTTACAAGGATAGCTTTACCTTTTTTTGCCTTGTTACCTTATTGATGGCTTAATTAGACTGCTAATTACCATGGAACCTCCTCTTGAGGTTTCTTTTGCAGGCAGTGAACACTAAACTGAGGAAAAATCTTAAAAGTAAATGAAATTTTACTTCAGAGTTGCTAATTTGAACTCACTGAAAGTTAGTGTTAAACAAGTTAAATCTTAAATTATGGAAGATCTCTGTAAATGCAGATCATTGTTCTGTGAATAATCTTTAACCAGTACATGGGACAGCCTAAGCAAATGTAAAGTTGTGATATACAGCGTTTTCACTGTCAGATCATGTACATTCATTCTCACAAGTAGCATGTATTTAGTTCTTAATATTTTTCTATGTGCAGTTTAAATCTTTACAGACTTGAAGAATCGAGGCAAATGAGTGCAGTTTTATCAACGCTATCACTTCAGAGTAAAAAGTCAGTAAATGAACATGTTGATACAATGGAACAAGAGATTAATAAAAGACACTCTGAGTTGGCGACCCAGCAAAGGCAAACAAAGGATACAAGGTTGTCTGTCCAAGCAATTCAGAATAACAGGTCAAGAAATGAACACGTTGATATACTGGAACAAGAGTCAGACACTCCATCAAGATCAGCATCGTTTAATAAAAGGCACTCTGAGATGGCTAGCCCCTCAAGGCAAACAAAGGATATAAATATGTCAGCTCAAGCACTAAAGAATAAGAAGTCTAAAAAGAAACACATTGATACACTGGAACAAGAATCAGACACCCCATCAAGAGCAGCATCGTTTAATAAAAGACACTCTGGGTTGGCTGGGCCCTCAAGGCAAGCAAAGGATGTAAAGTTGTCTGCCCAAGCAATTCAGAATAAAAAGTCAAGAAATGAACACGTTGATACAGTAGAACAAGAGTCAGACACTCCATCAAGATCAGCATCATTTAATAAAAGACACTCTGAGTTGGCTGGGCCCTCAAGGCAAACAAAGGATGCAGAGTTGTCTGCCCAAGCAATTCAGAATAAAAAGTCAAGAAATGAACACGTTGATACAGTGGAACAAGAGTCAGACACTCCATCAAGATCAGCATCATTTAATAAAAGACACTCTGAGTTGGCTGGGCCCTCAAGGCAAACAAAGGATGCAAAGTTGTCTGCCCAAGCAATTCAGAATAAAAAGTCAAGAAATGAACACGTTGATACAGTGGAACAAGAGTCAGACACTCCATCAAGATCAGCATCATTTAATGAAAGGCACTCTGAGATGGCTAGCCCCTCAAGGCAAACAAAGGATGAAGAGTTGTCTGCCCAAGCAATTCAGAATAAAAAGTCAAGAAATGAACACGTTGATACAGTGGAACAAGAGTCAGACACCCCATCAAGATCAGCATCATTTATTGAAAGGCACTCTGAGATGGCTAGCCCCCCAAGGCAAACAAAGAATACAAATATGTCAGCTCAAGCACTAAAGAATAAGAAGTCAAAAAAGGAACATGTTGATACACTGGAACAAGAGTCAGACACCCCATCAAGATCAGCATCGTTTAATGAAAGGCACTCTGAGTTGGCTGGGCCCTCAAGGCAAGCAAAGGATGCAAAGTTGTCTGCCCAAGCAATTCAGAATAAAAAGTCAAGAAATGAACACGTTGATACAGTGGAACAACAGTCAGACACCCCATCAGGATCAGTTTCATTTAATAAAAGACACCCTGAGTTGAAGTCCATGGTTATACTAAGTGGCCCCTCAAGTCATTCTGGAGAGAAGGAATGGAGAAAAATGCATAACTCTGGCAAACAGAGGCAGAGCACTTCCAACAGAAGTATGAAGCCACAAAATGTTCCTTGGTTCCGTCAGTGGCAGGAGACAGCAGCAGCTTCTGGAAAAACATGTGCTTTTAACCTGCTCCCCAGGGAAGAGAGGAGTGCAAAACTGGAAGAATTAGTAACTGAAATTAAGAGAAAACAGGATGAGACACTGAAAGTAGACCTGATGAAGAGCCCTTTTATCAGCAAACCTGATGAACCAGAAAATATGAAAGTAATTCTGCCTGTAAATAAAAAGAAAGTCAGTCTGAAACCATCGCGTCCAGATTTGCTAGTGAATGGAAAACCATACAGGCCTCGTCTCAGACGTCCCAAATCATGGGCTACTCCAAGACTTTATAAACTCATCATTCCAAAGTGTGAAAAGAAATATGGGCTTCTGAAAGCCCATTGCAAAGCAGAAGAATTTGTTATATTTTTATGTGAAAAGGTATGTAATACATGTCGTTGTTAGTATAACTGTTACAGTCATCACTATTATTGGAACACAGAGGTTTATCACTGTGATCACAGAAGCATACTATTAGCCCCTATCGTAAGCCAGCTCAGTCCAATTCACATCTTTTCCATCTGTGTCCAGACCAGCTCTGGGGCCAATCCAGCCTCTGTCAGTGGATACCAGAGGCTCTTTCCCTGGAGCTAAATTGGCAGTGACATTAAGCTGACAACTCACCTCCATCTGGTGCCTAGGTCAAGAAAGATGGATCTATACCTCCACTCCCCCCATGCCTTCATAGCTTAATGCATAACTAATTAAAGACGGGGACAACTTAACTTTTTTTTTTTAAAGAGAGTGTTCTAAAATCTCATTTACATGTATATGGGTTCCACTTTTATTTCAAAGTTTCATTTTTCGAATAAGAGTAGGAAACACAGAAAGAATGACATTTATCTTCTTTTAGTCCATAGGACTCAATTCAGACTCCATTAATTTGTACAGTCATATTGTATCCTTAAATAAGTTTGCACAAATTGAGAAGTCAGATGAACATGTTGTAACCGCAGTGCAAGTGAATGTTATAAAAACAAATTTTGATGCAGTTTCTTCTTAAAGTACACACAGTTTCTTTGTAGAAGGAAGAAACCTTTTTGTGATATTCACAGTAGCGTGTGAGACACTGAGACAGCATTTATTATCAACATAATTGTAGATTTGACTCCACGGAACATATTTCATGTTCTTTCTCAACATTATTCAGCTGTTGGTGGAAGTCAGTCTTATACTGCCAGCAATTTATGGACATATTTGACAAAGGCAGTTCCCTGTTTCTTGATGTGACTAGCATCAGACGTACTTGTTTTTATCTGTTTGTTCAGATGGGACACAATCAGATTACAGGCCCACATTAGAGAAGTTTCCTGTGTTCTTTTACCTTCACTTGATGAGATGCGAGGCCTTATTTAATATACTGAGAGTTCCCCATTAGTGACAGCAAAAGTAGCCATGCAATGTAGATGAAAACTCTGACCAGGTATGGCAAATGAGAAGCACTGGTTAGGTGCATCCACATTTAGTGGATGATGAAAATATCGAAGTCTGATGTTTTATGTGGGAAAATGGTGTGCTTCCTGAGCTTGTACTTGGTGCCAGTGAGTGGCATGTGTGGGTATAATATAGTAATGTGATATAACTGTTGACATATACAGGGTATCCCAGGAGGAATGTGCCAAACTTCAGGAGGGTGTTCCTTATGTTATAGAATGCCGATATAATCCAAAACACCTGTGTCCAAAGTTGAACGGTTACGGAGATAATGGCCCGAGAAAAGTGTGGTCTTCTGGTGAGTTCACGCACTGTACCTGTCAGCTGGCATGTCTTATCTACATTTGTCCTTGAGTGTGGTGATGGCAGCTCACGTTAGCCCCATGCACTCTCATACCAAAATGCGCAGTCAACAATGTTACGTCGGCGCTTGCCATTCATGTGTCATGTATAGTGCTTGGAACTCTTAACAACAACTTTGACATGGCGTGCGAGTTTTTTGTAGTTCAATTTAATGGCTTCATGTCACTCACAAGTTAGTTTGATGTTACGTACATTATTAACATTACAGAAACCACATATTCCTGCCAGTTTTAATGTGTATTTTGTAATCAACAAGTGTGTAACACCGGTCAAAGTTTCACGCTTCTCTGGCCATTATCTCCGTAACCGTTCAACTTTGGACATAGGTGTTTTGGGTTATATCAGCATACTTTAACATAAGGAACACCCTCCTGAAGTTTGGCACATTCCTCCTGGGACACCCTGTATACACTCAAGTGCCAAAAGTCATGGGATAGCAGTATGTAAATTTACTGATAGGCATGTTCTTGTATTGGAGTGATAATTTCACATGTCATCATGGGCCGTCCCCTTGTATGCATATTGTTTATTCCTTGAAATATTTGCTTTCAGGTATCCACTGTGATAAGGCGCAAGAAATACGAGAAGTATAAGGGTGTTTTGGAAGAAATTAAAAGAGCACTTTATGAACTTGGAGTAATAAATTGTCTCATGGAGTATTTTGTATTCATTGAGGACTATCTTCCTTTTGAATATAGAATTAAGGCCATACCATGCCTCAGAGCATATGGACAACGCACTGGACCACCGTTGACCCCAGGTGTTGACTTGTTCGCTGATCTGGGTTATTAAGAGAGTTAAATGTAACCTATGTTTAAAAAATAATTCATGTTTTTATACTCTTGATTTTGTATGTTTCATCTGTAATATCTACTATAATGAATAAATAATAAAATTTTTGAAAACAATTTAAAAAATCCAGACATTTGTGAAAATTGATTACCAATATGAATCCTGTTTCTGGATGTTGACCCTCATAACCTAGGCTGTCCAGAATGTTGGCGATGACCCAGAAACAGGATTCAATTTTAAAGAAATTTGGCTTAATACAGAGTTAAAGAACTACTTCAAATTAAATTGGTGTGTCCTCATGTCTCATCACCTCCAGCAAGAAGAGGAATTTGAGTGAAAGGTCACAAGAGTCTTCTGAAATAAGGACCAGAAGAAGGAAAATATCAGGTTGCAGTGGAAATAAAGTGAATTTCACTTAAGAGGTTCCTGTTCAAAGCATTTTCTCACTTAATAAATTCAAATTATTTGGACCCAAAAATGCTCCCATAAGGCTAACATATTTTTAATCTACTTAATATACGAGTATTTCCCACATAAAAATCGCCATTGCAGTGCTATAAAACTAACACATTGCCCTCTTCATGCCTTTTTCAGCAGTTACTGTCTTCCAAGCTGACTTGTTCATTACACTACACTGGAAAAACAGGCAGACACATTAGTTGTACGGCTTTGCTAACGTGAATACAATCTCAGAGAGGGTCTTGTAGAAAACCCAAACCTGGCCCAACATGCCTATGAAGAAGGACACAGGTTACTTTGGGATGAAACTAGGATCTTGGAAAACAAAAGTAACAGCAAGCGCTGGAAATCAAGGAATTGGCCTGTGAAGTGTGTTTAAGTACAGTCAGCCAACCGAGTTTGGAAATTTCTCCAATATAGATTCGCATTAGCTAGGAGGCTGGCAACTTATAAGGAGGGTAAGTGTAAACTGACAAACTCTTTATGGGTACCAAAAGAATTTTAGTTCTTGAGTTCAGTGTTTGTGCCACAGATGGTGATAGCAGTAGGCGGGGTATTGTAAAACATAGAAACTTAGATTTTTTTCTCTGCATCATTGCTTCTGGATGTGGTTGTTGGGTTTGTTTGATGCATTTGTTTTCACTTCCCTTTCTATCTTAGTTTTGGATCTTTATATGCACTTCAGCAGTTCTTATTGTAATCTTGGTTTTGGGTCCCATCAGGACCCATGACAATATTATTGTACTTTTGAAACACGTATAAGTCTTGGAAAGAACAAAATGTTTGGTCATGGGTCCCAACAGGACCCAAAACTGAGGCTGACACCTCAGACGTTTACCTAATAGCTGTTATGCTATGCAGGGTTTGTCCACTGATTAAGCTCAGCAGTTCATAAGGGATCCACCAGAAATGTTGTGTTATTCGGAATACTGGACAATGGACGGATTCCAGGAACTCTTCTGGCTGTGGTGCAAATTTGGTATGAGTTGATGCCAGAAACATATGAACTCATGATGCTTATATTTTGATATTGTGTTGTAAACATGAAACCAGTCACTTTAAACTTTTAAACATCATTGGCCTTATCACATTGCCATAAATTCATATTTATTAGTTTTGGTTCTTGTACTTAATTATAAATGTTAATCAACTGTATGCCTTCATGTGACAGGTCTTTGACCACCTTTCAGTTCTCATGTATAGCCTATTTTCCAAAGGATATGGTGATTAATACTGTCCCTGTGTTTATGGCCCTCTTAGTTAGTTAGTTAGTTAGTTATTGGAGAGGGTGGGTTTCCCCATGCACTTAGACCTGTATTGGTCCATTGTGCTTCCCTCTATGATTTCTACCAGTCTCTATATCCTAGCGGTACTGGTGCTTACCATCAGCCCCGCCCAGCCAGCGAGACCGGCTCTACTAGCTGAGAGGTGTCTATAATGCTTCCCCCATCTACCAGAGGTATTAGAGACTGCTGTTGGGCGGGAAACGTCCGTAATTTGGCTCAGTGACCTCCTTTGGAGATATCAGGTTCTTTTACGTGCCGTAAAGCTATGACATGGGACCCACGGCTTAAAGTCCCTCCCGGAGGACTTGTTCCCTGAATTTTTCGCCCTTAAAAATTCGACGACCTCCGCCGGGTATTTGAACCCGCGTACTACGAGTCATGAGGTGGGAACGATACCTCTAGACTACGGAGGCCGCTTTTATGGCCCTCTTAGTGTATGCATCGGGTGATGGATTTTCATTAAACTCAGCAGGACTTAGTTCTCACAGAGAATTTCTTTAATGTCTTATTTCTGCAATTCCATTCTGTAACAGTACTAGGCGCCTGGCTCATATTCGGGAAGTATCCGCCTCAAATCTCGGTTGAGATTGTATACACTGAGAATTTTTTCTTGATTCCCCCACAGGTTAATGTTATTTCTGTTATCCTCACTGTACATCCCGCTGGATTTTCCAATTTATCCGATTCTCCTTTTCATAGAATCCGACTCTTATGTTCCGATCTTTCACATCGTCCCGATTGGCGGAACACACACTTGTTGCGCATGCAACCCCCTCCCTCCCCCTCTCACAGTGCACGGCGCATTGGCTCAGGCAGTTGTTTCCGTGGTTTCAATTCGGCCGGTCCGGGTTGAATGCGGCTCGTGCACGATTCTGCAACTTCTTCGCGTTTACTTTCATAAGTTGCCAGACATTTTTATTCACGGTTTTGTGGGCTTTTTTAAAATTTCCCCTTGACCCTTACGGTAACGTGTTGTGTGCGGTATTTCAACAACAAAATTTTTTTGCAATTTGTAGCAAATGTTTGAACGGCAACCAGAGTTTGAATAACAAAGTTGTCGCTTGCAGTAATGAAAGAATCAGACAGTGTCGTGAAAGTGCTGTTACTAGACGAATGATATAAAAGTACGCTTATAATTCGGTGCTGACGGTATATCAGCAGCATGTAGCAGGCGCTGGAGCCTTGGACGAGAAATGACGTGCAAACAGATGTCGTAGGAGGGAAGCAGAATCTGAAGGAAGAAGGCTTTTCCTGTGAACGCGATTGCAATGGCGGAAATTAAACTTCAGTTTCACAGCTGGAGAAATCTTGAACAGGTCAATAATTACAGATTGCTGAGGAAACATCTCATATCATAGAAGTATCATAGTTCGTAGTTACCTAAACCGTCGAAGCACAGTGATTTTAATGTGCACTGCCGAATTCAACATTAAAAATCTCTGTACTGGTGTTGCTTGGGGGTTTCAGACAGCACAGCAGTTATTTCTATGAAGAACTCCAAAGGTTGGTCTTTCATGTGGAGACGCAGTTTTTTCTGGTAAGATAGGAACCGAATTTTCAGATACTGTTCAGAAGAAAGACTTTCTCTAGGGGGTTAAGGGGTACGAATTGATGAGTCAGCAGTGCTTTTGATATGTCAGATTTTTTGAACTAAAATTTGAAAATGTATTTATTTAGTTAAGTTATCTGTTAAATTTGTGGGAGTCGGTATAGCGACTGGCTATGGGTTGGACGACCGAAGGATCGGAGTTCGAGTCCCGGTGGGGTCAAGAATTTTCACTTCTCCCTGTCTTCTAGACCGACTCTGGGGTCCACCCAACCTCGCATCCAATGGGTACCGGGGGCTCTTTCCTCGGGGGTAAAGCGGCCGGGCCATGAAGCTGACCACTCACTTCCAACTAGTGCCATATTAACGCTCGATAATTCTCTGCAGTGATAGCCCGAAATTACGAGTTTTACAGCCTTCACCTTGCCGTTATATTATTTATGTAAGCACATAGAGAAAAACATGCAACTTGTAGGGGCCTTGATTTTTTTTTTTTTTTTGCGTCAAAATTGAGATGCAAGTTAAATCAAGTTAAACGGCGAAACTTCTGGAATGTTCCGGTTTGAATAATCTCTTGGGCACTTCTACAGGAGGATGTGAGCCCTGCCTTCTTTATCGAATTCAGATGCATTTTCTAAGCAACCATATCCTGGAACTAATTTCATGGATCAGAGTCCTTCATGAGAACGTAACAGTTGTTCAGTTTGTGAAGAAAATCCGAATAGTCCTTGGAAACTGATGGTTCAATACTGTGTCCACCAGAGTCCGTCACCTGTTATGATCCTAAGCCGGTTGAATCCAGCCCACACCACTCCATGTTTTTATCTTTAAGTTCAATTTTAATATTATTCTTCCTCCTAGTTGTCTCCATTCGGTTTTGTTCCAAAATTTTGTATGTATTATCTCTCTCTCCCATGCATACTACATGTTGCGCCCATCTTATCACCCTTGATAATCACAGCCTGTGCATGTGACACGTTTGTTTAGGGGGATTTGTGTCTACTCATTTTTGAAGTGTTTTACTTGTGAACATATTTTTCATAATTACTTTTCTAATGAAAAATTTTAGGAAAATTATTAAAACAGTACGTTTACAAGTAAATCGCTGTAAAAAGTCAGCAAATGCTACAGATCAATCAATTTCATGTGTGTGCCAAAGTTCGTTCCTGTAAGGCTTATTATCTCCTAAAAATGCATTTAAGTTTGATTGGCTCAGTCGGTATAGCAACATGATATGGGCTGGACGGCCGGTGTTCTATTCTCGGCAGGGGTAAGATTTTTCTCTTCTCCACAGCGTCCAGACCGGCTCTGGGACGTACCCAGCCTTCTATACAATGGGTGCCGGGGGGAAATTTCCTGGGGATGAAGCGGCCGGGCTTGAAAGTGACCACTCATCTCCATCTAATGTGGAGGTCAAGAATACGTGGATCTATACATCCACTCCCCCATACGCCTTCGTGGAGTAGTGCTTAATCAATTAACATAAGAGAAAACTTGACCCATTTTACCTTTAAAATTCACACTATAAAATCAAAATGTCGTTAAATAGCTCACAAGTCATCCAGCATTCCGTAGATAAAACACAACAAATTGTCCTTAATAATATTTTTTGTTTTTATATAATTATCGTTATAGGGCACGCGGTAGCGTAGTTGGTTGAGGCACTATGCTACAAGCCGGAAGGTCGCGGGTTCGATTTCCGATGAGGCCATTTGATTTTTCAGTTGACCTAATCCTTCCAGACGCACTATGGCCCCGGGGTCGAGTCAGCTCCTAACAGAAATGAGTACCAGGAATATTCCTAGAGGTAAAGTGCGGCCGGCGCATAATGCTGACAACCCCACCGCCATCTGTGAGCCGACTGTGTAGATAATGTGGGAGCATCGACGTCACACACCCCTATGGGCCTCCATGGCTTGTTAGAGGAAAAGCAGGAAACCGCAGGAAATATGAAAAAATTGACTGGATTTGAGGTTCTCATGACGATGATAATGTAGAGTGCTACCTTCCGGGATGTAATGCCTTGTGTCCCGACAGTTCACAGACGTGTCGGAGACGCGAAACCGGTCTACACGACGTTATATCCAGGAAGATAAACCGTTCTGAGACAGTGCGTCGTCTGGAACAGTCGAAACCCATTGTCATTACAGAAATCGACATTGATTCTGTGGAACAAGTTCGATCAATCATGTTGGCCACTTCACTGGATGAAATGCCTAATATTTCTCTTTCTTCTGTCAAATATTAGCAAACAAATTGTTTTAAATAACGTCATATATTTCTTCAGCCAGAACATTTTGCGTTCGGTAAGTAATTAATGACGCACTTGTAAGAAGATTTATGGCATTTCAGTTCGTCTCTTTACACATTACTTTACGTTACCGGTATGCGGCCTCCTGTAGGGTCCGTGAGGCTAGTCTTCATATTCTGCGTTAGGCGCTGAATAGCTCAGGCAGTACAGCGACGTGTTACGGGCAGGGCGGCCGGAATTCGATTCTTGACAAGGGTAAGAGATTTCCCCTGCTCCGCAATGTCTATGCCGGCTCTGCGGCCCACCTATACAACAGGTATCGTGGGCTTTTCCCAAGGGGTAAAGCGGTTGGAGCGTAAAACTAGCAGAGTTCAAGAATGGTGGTGCTATACCTCCACTCTCCATATGTTTTCGTGCCATAGTGTTTAAGCAGAGGGATAATTTTACCACACCTATTATATGTAAGAAGGGAGACATTGTGTGCTGAACGGTTTCAATCATTTACGAAATCTGTTTACTTGGAATAATGGTATTGCAAATATTGTGTGCAGGTGTCGCTGCTAGTTGCATAGCGCTGATTCAGTCTTTTTTTTTTCTTTAAGCGATTGAGGCAAGAAAATAAATTTGACCAGATATTAAACATTTTGTAATTACGTTAAAGAAAAATGTAAAGCTATCCCTGTAAGAGGTTGTGAAGGCCCATAGGGTTGTGAGACATCGAGGTTTCAACATTTTCTAAACAACTGGCTCACAGATGGCGGTGAGGTCAGCTTTACGCGCCGGCCGTCCTTTACCACCAAGAATATTCCTGGTACTCATTTTTCTTAGAGACTGGGTCGACCACAGGGCCATAGTACGGATGGAAGAATTAGGTGAATTGAAAAATCCAATGACCTTATCGGGAATCGAACCCGCGACCTTCCGGAATGTAGCATAGTGCCTGAACCAACTACGCTACGGCGTTCCCTTTGTAATTACGGTACAAGTATTAAAATTCATTCTGTTGTATAGTCTATTTTGAGGTACTTACTTACTTACTTACTTACTTACTTACTTACTTACTTACTTACTTACTTACTTACTTACTTACTCCCTCACTCACTCATGGAACTGAGACCTTCTTGGGGAGAAGCCAAATCTGCAGCTACTCGAGAATTTCTCAGCATTTTAAGGAACCCGAAGGTTCATTACCGTGTTCACAAGAGTCCTCCACTGATCCCTATACCGAGTCAGATCAATCCAATCCATACCATCCCATCCTATCTCTCTAAGATCCATTTTGATATTGTCCACCCACCTACGCCTTGGTCTTCCCAATGGTTTTTTCCTTCTAGCTTTCCAATCAATATCCTATATGCAATCCTCTTCTCGCCCATTCGTGCTACATGCCCTATAAACCTTCCTCCTTGACTTGATCATTCTAATTATACTTGGAGAAGAGTACAAGATATGAAACTCCTCATTATGCAGTTTTCTCCAACCTCCTGTCACTTCATCTCTCTTCGGTCTAGATATTCTCCTCAACATCCTGTTCTCAAATGCCCTCAGTCTGTGTTCCTCCCTTAATGTCAGAGTCAAAGTTTCATACCCATAAAGATCAACAGGCAAAATTATAGTTTTGTGTATTCTAATTTTTATATTTTTGGGCAGCAGACGAGAAGACAAAAGATTCTGCACTGAATGGTAGCAAGCATTACCCGAGTTCAATCGCCTCTTAATTTCCTCCTGAATCAGGTTTAGATCTGTTATCATTGTTCCCAAATATCTGAACTGTGCCACATTTTCAAAACATCTGTTTTCTATCGTTTTGAGGTACTATGCGGATAATTTAAAGTTGGAGAGATGAGATGCTGGAGTGTGTAATGTGTTGGTAGGATGTCCGCGGTCCCGAGAAGTTTGTATACAACTGCTTTACATGGTAAACTCTTATCATAACGGTGGAGTACGAAAACAGAAGACGGAGCAAGCAAGTTGAAGTGGTGACGTCTCTGACTTGAATTCAGGAGGTGTCCGATATTAATCTTTGTCGGCACAGTGACTTATGAGTCTTCTTCCAGGCAAATACAGGGATAGTAGCTCAAATTAGCCTCATTCATTCATTAGTAATCTGTCAGACGACAGATCCACAGTCTCTTCCAAAACAGTTCCTCCACTTAATGCGATCTCAAGCTTCCTCCTTCAAATAAGAATATCCTCTTCTGTCCCCAAGGTCATCCAGCATCTTCTTACGTCTTCTTCCTCGTCTTCTGGTCACTTCTATCCGCCCCTCTATCTTTCTCTTATTTCGTGTAGGATATTCCTCTACTCACTAACTCTAAATAACACTTCTTCATTTCTCCCATAATCGGTACAACTGATCTTCTCCATCCTTTTCCAACACCACATTTGGTATCTCTGTTTTTGGAAAGAGACTATCCAGGAAAAGTGATAATGTGGTAGTTTTTCCATTTGCTTTCCACATCGCAGTACAGCAGCCGTTCAAACCACTCTGGTCACGCCCGTTGCTATACGAACTTGAACCATCTCGAGCATCATTTGCCGTAATCAACAACACGCGCAACCAAACAGGGAACACACAACACGAGACNTGAGTGCACTAAAAGACGGACACTGCATACATATCATGGGCAACTTGTTATGTTCGGGAAATCTCGAATTGACTGCCAACTTGACAATCAAAAGCGTCTGACGATACTACATAGAGAAATAATGAAACGCTTGATTGATATCATCTGCTACTTAGGAAAGAGGCAACTTGCCCTCCGTGGTCA